CAACATTAAAACCCCCTCCTTAAAGAGTGCAGGCACTGTACTTCCCATCTCCAGGACTCAAGTCCGGCCTCCCGGGTTTCCCTGAACCTTCATAATGTTACTTTGCTCACACTCCAACAGCCGTCAAGTTTTAAAAACCATTCGTCTCCATTCACTCCTATCAAACACCTCACGCACGCCTCTGGAAGTCCAACCCCCTCGCACACAAAACCTCCTTTACCCCCTCCCTCCAACCTTTCCTAGCCGACCCCTACCCCCCCTTTCCCCTTCCACTACAGACTGATACACTCTTGAAGTCATTCTGTTTCGCTCCATTCTCTCTACATGTCCGAACCCACCTCAACAACCCTTCCTCACCCTCTGGACAACAGTTTTGGTAATCCCGCACCTCCTCCTAACTTACAAACTACAGAATTCTCTGCATTATTTTCACACCCACACATTGCCCCAGACATGACATCTCCCTCCTCCAGCCTTCTCCTCGTGCAACATTCATCACCCATGCTTCACACCCAAAAAGAGTGTTGGTAAAACTATACTCTCATACATTCCCCTCTTTGCCTCCAAGGACAAATTTCCCTTTGTCTCCCACAGACCCCTAAGTGAAACCCACTAAACCCTTTTCCCCTCATCAATTCTATGATTCACCTCATCCTTCATAGACCCATCCGCTGACACGTCCACTCCCAAATATCTGAATACATTCACCTCCTCCATACTCTCTCCTTCCAATCTGATATCCAATCTTTCATCACCTAATATTTTTGTTATCCTCAAACCTTACTCTTTCCTTTAAAATTCACTTTAATTTTCTTCTTTTGCACACCCTAACCAAATTCATCCACCAATCTCTGCAACTTTCTCTTCAGAATCTCCCAAGAGCACAGTGTCATCAGCAAAGAGCAATTGTGACAACTCCCACTTTATGTGTGATTCCTTATCTTTTAACTCCAGCCTCTTGTCAAGACCCTCGCATTTACTTCTCTTACAACCCCATCTATAAATATATTAAACAACCACGGTGACATCACACATCCCGTCTAAGGGCCTACTTTTACTGGGAAATAATTCCCTCTTTCCTATTACTCTAACTTGACCTCACTATCCTCGTAAAAACTCTTCACTGCTTTCAGTAACCTACCTCCTACACCATACACCTTTCAACATCTGCCACATTGCCCCCCTATCCACCCTGTCATACGCCTTTTCCAAATCCATAAATGCCACAAAGACCTCTTTAGCCTTATCTAAAATACTGTTCCTTATATGTTTCAACTGTAAAAACCTGGTCCACACACCCCCTACCTTTCCTAAAGCCTCCTTGTTCATCTTCTATCCTATTCTCAGTCTTACTTTTAATTCTTTCAAATAATAACTCTACCATACACTTTACCAAGTATACTCAACAGACTTTTTCCCCCTATAATTTTTGCACTCTCTTTTGTCCCCTTTGCCTTTATACAAAGGGAAATATGCATGCTCTCTGCCAATCCCCAGGTACCTTACCCTCTTCCATACATTTATTAAATAATTGCAAAACCCCAAACCCCTCCAAAACTATATCCCCACCTGCTTTTTAACATTTCTATCTTTATCCCATCAATCCCGGGTGCCTTACCCCCTTTCATTTTACCTACTGCCTCACAACTTTCCCCAAACTCACAACTGCTCTTTCCCCACTCCTACAAGATGTTATTCCTCCCTGCCTATACACGAAATCACAGCTTCCCTATCTTCAATCAACATTTAACAATTCCTCAAAATATTCCCTCCATCTTCCCCCAAACCCTAACTCTCCATTTAATAACTCTCCTCTCCTATTTTTAACTGACAAAACCATTTGTTCTCTAGGCTTCCTAAAATTGCTAATCTCACTCCCAAAACTTTTTCTTATTTTCAACAAAATTTTTTTGATAACAAACTCACCCACTTTCTCATTTGCTCTCTTTTACATTGCTTCACCACTCTCTTAACCTCTCTCTTTTTCTCCATATACTCTTCCCTCCTTGCATCACTTCTACTTTGTAAAAACTTCTCATATGCTAACTTTTTCTCCCTTACTACTCTCTTTACATCATCATTCCACCAATCGCTCCTCTTCCCCCCGCACCCACTTTCCTGTAACCACAAACTTCTGCTGAACACTCTAACACTACATTTTTAAACCTACCCCATACCTCTTCGACCCCATTGCCTATGCTCTCATTAGCCCAAACTATCCTCCAATAAACTGTTTATATCTTTCCCTAACTGCCTCCTCTTTTAGTTTATAAACCTTAACCTCTCTCTTCCCTCATGCTTCAAATTCTCCTTTTATCCCATCTACCTTTTACTCTCAGTGTAGCTCAACTAGAAGTGATCTGATATATCTGTGGCCCCTCTATAAACATGTACATCCTGAAGTCTACTCAACAATCTTTTATCTACCAATACATAATCCAACAAACTATTTTCAATTTTCGCCCTACATCATATCTTGTATACTTATTTATCCTCTTTTTTAAAATATGTATTACCTATAACTAAACCCCTTTCTATACAAAGTTCAATCAAAGGGCTCCCATTATCATTTACACCTGGCACCCCAAACTTACCCACCACACCCCCCTCTAAAAGTTCTCCTACTTTAGCATTTTAGGTCCCCAAACCCCAAATTTCTCTCTCACTTGGTTCAAAGGCTCCTATACTTTTACTTAACATCTCCCAAAATCTCTCTCTCTCCTCTGCATTCCTCTCTTCTCCAGTGCATACACGCTTTTTATGCCCCACTTCTCGCACCCAACCTTTACTTTAATCCACATAATTCTTGCATTAACATTCATATTCTCTTTTTCCCCTTTCCATAACTGATCTTCAACTTTTACTGCTACCCCTTCCTTTGCTCTAATCTCTCGATCTCCAATTTAACCCCATTTATTTCCCCCACCGAAACTCCCCCTCCCCCCTTCAGCTTTGTTCGCTTAGGGGCCCGGACATCCAAATTCTTTTTATTCAAACATCAGCAATCATCGTTTCTTTTCATCGCACACATCCACGCAATTCAAGCATCCCAGTTTTTAAAAAATTTTTTTCTTCTTTTTTAGTAATGTCTACAGGAAAGGGGTTATACCCCTTGCTCCCGGGGTTTTTGTCGCCTCTACACACCATGGCTTACGGGGAAAGATTTTTTCCACTTCCCCATGGACAAAGAAAAAATAAAAACGAACAAGACATTAGAAAAAAGGAGAAAAACCAGAGTTGTATATATATAATAATGCATGTGCATGTCGTGAAGTGTGACCAAAGTGTAAGTTGGAGTAGCAAGATATCCCTGTTAAATAGCGTGTTTATGAGACAGAAAAAGAACACCAGCAATCCTACCATCATGCAAAACAGTTACAGGTTTCTGTTTCACAGTCATCTGGCAGGACGGTAGTACTTTCCCTGGTGGTTTGCTGTCTACCAACCTACTACCTATATATATATATTATATATATATATATAATATATATATATATAATATATATATATATATATATATATATATATATATATATATATATATATATATATATATAAGAAAGAAAGAGAAGAGAGAGAGAGAGAGAGAGAGAGAGATAGAGAGAGAGAGAGAGAGAGAGAGAGAGAGAGAGAGAGAGAGAGAGAGAGAGAAAGAGAGAGAAATTCACAATAGGAAAAGGGTTGGCAGAATGCTGCCAAAATCGGTAACGATGCTTCATTGGCGTTAAATTTGAAAAAAAAGAGAGATGCGAGAACAACGTAAGGCAACTATTAGTTTCATAGCAACAACACCAAGGACCAACACCTGTATGAATATCTTTCCACGAACAAAACACGGAATATTACACATTCAACACTAATTCCATTTTGTAACATTTTGTTTTGATGGTGTGGAGGACTGTGTTAAGCATATCTTTGCATGCTTAACACAGTCCTCCGCACACCATCAGAACAAAATTCACTAAACTATAGCTACGATGACAAACATTCACCGTCCTTAGACTCCTAGAGATTCTAGTTTAACACATAATCAGATAAAATGATCTCTCAGTCTTGTTGATGAATAAGATACGCACAATATTTTGGACATCCTTGCTGAATAATACATAGGTTGCTCATATGTAATATTCAGTATACTATCAATTATATGCTCTCTACCTACTCAGGACCCTAGCTTCTTCCAGAGTTGCTGGTCCTCACTTTGCATAGAAACAGTGACCTGACCGTGACTGCTGAGGTCACTTACCCTCGCCTAGCCTTGGCCACACTTCATTCTCTCATTAAAAATAATAGTGTCTTACTTCAAATTTTACACTTAGCCTAACTTTTTCACTGAATAAGATGTCTTGCTTGCAGTTACTATATAAATATCAACTCGCTCAATTAGCTCGATTGATAGCGCACTCAGCTCCCACACTGACGTCCTTGGTTCGATCCTTGGTACGGGTGGGAACATTGTGGACGTGTTTCCCTAAGACACCTGCTGTCCCTATTCACCTAGCAGTAAAATAGGTATCTGGATGTTAGTTGACTGGTGAGTATTATAATCATGAGGAAGCGCTAAACCCGTAGGATTATACAGTGCACGTGGGGGGGTGGAAGGTATTCAGGCTCAATTCAGGGAACCAGAGCACAGATCCAATTCCCTAGATCAAGAGCCCATCACCAGCGTCAAGGAACTCCACTGAAGGGAGTTGACTGGTGAGGGTGGCATCCTGGGGACAAAATCTAATTTGCCAGAAATGCTCTACATAACAAGGGAGATTTTTATGTCACTAATGTTAGCTAGGCCTGTATAAGTTGTATCATGTACTTGTAGAAATAAAGATTATATTTGCTATTATTATTACTATTATCAGCCCATATATGTAATTATCAACCCACATAACAATATTTCCAATCCTAACCCCCTCAACATTTTCCTCCCGCCTAGCACCAACATATCTTCTTCAATTCCTATGTTTTGGGTGCGACATTAAAACTTGGGTTTATCTTTCCAGGGATCATCACGACACATCGGATGAGCATGTCAGGGAGCCGCCTCAACACAGGCTCCCCTGTGTACATCGAGAAGCCTCAGGGGTCCCTCAAAGGGAAGTCTGTGTCGCGGCAATCCCTGCTGGAGATGGTCTCCTCCAAGATCAGCATCGGCAGCCGCAAACGCTTCTCTAGAGAATCCTTCTCAGCATCCTACGTCAACCGGGCGCACGTAGCTTCCGAGCTAGATATTAGTCGTAAGACCAGAGAGGCCCGTAAAAAGGAGATCAAGAGCCGCTTCAGTAAAGTGGAAAAATGGGAGTCCAGCACGAGTAGCTCGGAAAAGAAAACGGGTTGTAGGTGGACATTCGTGTTCGACCCAGCGGGGAGACTGTGTTATTATTGGTCGATGGTTGTTTCCTTAGCGTTTTTGTACAATCTGTGGGTCATGGTGTACCGCTTCGCCTTCCAGGAAATCACCAGAGGCACTATACTCGTTTGGTTTTGTTTGGACTATTTTGCGGATCTCATATATATTTTAGACATATTGTTTCACTTCCGCACGGGGTACCTGGAAGATGGAGTGTTGCAGACTGACTCACGCAAGTTGAGACAACACTACATGAACTCAACAACATTTTACGTTGACTGTTTATGCCTGTTACCGTTAGATTTCTTGTATTTATCCATAAACTTCAAATCCATACTGAGATGTTTTCGGCTAGTGAAGATATACAAATACTGGCACTTCCTAGACAGGACGGAGAGACACACGAACTCTCCCAATCTGTTCCGTTCAATCAGCCTCATTCACTACCTACTGGTGATATTTCACTGGAACGCTTGCCTCTTCTACATTATTGCCAAGAACGACGGCTTCAGTTTCAAGCCCGATTTCGTGCACTCGAGCAATGCGTCTGACGACGTGGTATTGGAATACCTCAAGGTGTTCTACTGGTGCACCCTTAGTCTCACCACTATAGGCGGTAACCCCATCCACGACGACGCCATCAACAAGACACACACCTTGGAGGCCCTCAACACCCGTACCAAGACAGACTACCTATACCAGATCACACAACTCATGTTCGGCCTTCTCCTCTTCGCCACTGTCCTCGGTCACATAGCCAACATCGTTACTAACGTTTCCGCTGCCAGGAAGGAGTTTCAAGGTAAGTTCCTTTCCATTTCTTTTAGTATCTGACCAGAAAATTAATTTAAGTACCTCACTGTAAGATACCCGCATAATCAATGGGTGAACTGTATTTATCAATGCGTATTTCACAAGTATGGGGAATAATAAAGAAAAATCTACCTAAATTCTTGACAGTAACATGATGCATTGAACATCTTATTGGTAAAAATTGTGCCATCCACTCCTGGGGTTAAATAACTTTTTTATTTTAACACATCAATTTTACAAGCTACCAGCTATTATCTTACCTCAGCTCATATCAAAGCCCAGCCCCATTAAGATGTACTACCACTCCCAGGATGCGACACACAACAATCGACTAACACCCAGGGACCTACTTACTGATAGCTGAACAGGGACAGCAGGTGTAAGGTGACTAACACCCTAGTACCTAATTACTGCTAGATAAACAGGGGCAGGTGTAAGGAAACATTCCCAACGTTTCCACCCGTGCCTGGAATCGAACCAAGGACGCAATTAGTATTTGAGTAGTATGCGTTGCCAACCGAGCCACGGGCCACCTGTCGCCCTTGGCTTACTGCCTCAGAAATTACCTACCATTTACATGCTCCTGGGAACTCTATGATACGTAACTACAACTGTCATACTTATTGCACAGGGAAAATGTATCTCCCAAGTTGACTTATTGTACTATATATTAATTCTTCATAATATCTGTATTAGTTATCAGTTTAAAACGTTGCCATATTAACTGTGAGTTATGTATAATAAATGTGTGATACATATTAAACATACAACATGCGGGCAGACGATGATGAGCGTGAACTACTTACAACATGCGGGCAGACGATGATGAAAAACATGAACTACATATAACATGGCGGCAGATTGTAACGAAAAACAGGCACAACATAACATGCAAGGATACGTTACCTAAATAACTCCGTTTATACCTTGTTTACGAAGACCCTTAAGGGATGCTGCCCAAAACAAACATGACCCAGCTGAGGGAACCATGTGAGAGGTGCCACTTGCCTGCCTGGCTCACCCTATGGACAGGTTGCTGCCACAGAGGGCTGCCACAGAGGGGTGCCACAGAGGAATGCCAGAGGGGTGCCAGAGGGGTTCCACAGAGGGGTTCCACAGAGGGGTGTCACAGAGGAGTTCCACAGAGAGGTGCCACAGAGGGGTGCCACAGACTGCTGCCACAGAGGGAAGTGTGATACTGGGTCAATGCCAACAATTACCCAAAATGTAACACATTTTTTGCTGCTTGCATGTCATTATTGTAGTGAACAAACGTAATAATTATGTAAATAAATATTCAAATAATTACACAAACAGACATAAGCCGAAGCGCGACACTGATTTAGACCAGCAAGTATTGGGGAGGGGGACTCATTTGAGATTATATATATATATATATATACATAATGTCGTGCCGAATAACGCTCTTCTTGCCGAATATGGCAAGGGAAAATTTGTGTATTGCATAATTTCGCAAAAATCATTCTGAATATAACGAAAAAACTTATATAAAATATATTTAGTTGAATTAGGCTAAATTAAATTGAGCTTGTTATAATAAGATTAAGTAAGTTTCCTAAGGTTCTTTCGGTACAAAATCATTAATTGTTATGTTAACATAAATGAAAAAATATATCTTGAAATGTACAAGAGAAATTTTTAGAAAGGACATAATTTTAAATGAATTCTTGCTAACTGACCAGTTTTACATATTCGGCAATATATATATATATATATATATATATATATATATATATATATATATATATATATATATATATTATATATATATATATATATAGCAAAACTGGATACGTTATTAACTACATTCAAGAGGGTTAGGGCGATGAGGGGAGGTGTGAGGGGAAGACTAGGGGCGAGGGAAGTGTGAGGGGAAGAGTAAGGGTCATGAAAAGACATGTTAAAAACAGACGAAAGGCTAAGAGGGAAGGTTCAGTAAGACCATCACTGCACTGCCTCACTCACGTTCACCGCTTATAAGATACAAGTGAGTACAAATAGGTAGTGCGTCTGTCTGGCGCTCAGCAGACGGAGGATTAAGCCTCCATAGCGACTTGCGCTGAATGACCCACACAAGTTGAGTACTTAACATGAATCATTTTTGTTCCACCGTTTGTAAGATGGTAATTCTCTTGTAATAGCGACTGAAGATCTTCTCGAAGGAAATCTTTTAGCCTTTTCATAGCTAATAAACCCATAGTGACACACTGGTCCATATGATCACTTTGCTGAAGTCTCTCAGCTCTGGCTGACAGACTTCAATTTTTCATAAATGCTTAAGATCTTGTGCGATGGAATGTGCCTGGTACACATAGCAAAGCTTTGTGTCTACGATTAAATTAACAAAGAGAATTGAGTATTCACATACTGCGGGTTAATTTAGTCAGAGAAAGCGCTCTTAAGAATATTGTTCAGAGGCCACTTTACACCTATTATCTGTGCCGTAGTATGGCTGAGGATCACTCCACACTCTCCGGCAGACTATGATAGGTCGCCCTTCATCCTCCAGCGAAGGGTGACAGACTGCCCTTTACTGGAAAGTGAAGGGCAGCAGCCCACCTTTCACCCCCAGCGAAGTGCGCAAAACTGCCCCCTCACTCTTCAGCTTATGGCTGAAGGTAGCCCCTCGCTCTCCAACGAAGGTCGACTGGCCGCCAGGCGATAGGCCACATTTCTGCCTCCAGTGAAGGACGACAGGCTGCGTCTCTGTCACTTCATCAAAAGCAACATCTTGCAAGCACACACACACACACACACACACACACACACACACACACACACACACACACACACACCAAACCCGCCAAATG